AGTAGCCCAGAAACCAGGGGCGGACTGACCATTTGGAAACTCGGGCACAGTCCGAGGGCCCGGGGTCAGTAGGGGGCCCCATGAGATGCCCCTGGTACCTTTTTCATAGGCTTTTTTGAGTTTGGGCAAGGACACAGGGGCCCAATGAGTGCCAGTCCGCCCCTGCCAGAAACAACATGTCAGGGGGCTATAGGGCTCTACACAATCAGCTGCTGAAGCATGCTTTTGTGTTTACGTTCTACTTGAAGTGGTTGCAAAGGCTGAAGGTTTTTAACCTTCATGCATAAAAAGGTAAAAAAAAACCTTCTGTGTACAGCAACCCCCAGCCCCCCCAATACTTCCTCTCCTCATTGGCTGAGACAATCACAGCCAGTGAGAAATAAGGAGAGAAGGGGTGGGGTAGGACTGAGCCATGGCTGTGTGTGTGAATGGACACGCAGAGCAGCAGCTCTGGAGCAAGCTTGCTTAGGTGCCCCAAAGCAAGCTGCTTACTCTGGGGGGACTTGCCAGGGGGGGGAGGGGCTAGGATCGCCAGCAGGAGACCCGAGAAGAGGAGGATTGGGGATGCTCTGTGCAAAGCAGAGCAGGCAAGTATGACATGTTTGTTATTAAAAAAAAATGCCTTTAATATCACTTTAAGTACAAAACAAATCCCTGAAGAATATTTTTATAGCACATTTTACATATTGTTGATAGAATCAGAAGAGTAAAGTCTACACAAGGCTCTAGTAAGTAAGAGAGAACACCATTCAGCTACTTACCAAGAGCTTATTATACTTTGGCCTTTTTCTGTGATCCTTAGTGAGACTACAGAGGAGGGAAAAATGAAAACAACTATTAGAAAAACAGAGCTATTGTCTGGCCACAAATTGAATTTAGAGCGGGTTCACATATATGCGGGACTGGTTTCAGTGCGATTTGTAAAAGGAGTGCAGTGAGGTTTCGTTCTGCGGTTCAGGTGAGAATTTTTAAAGTGTATGAAACTTGAAATTGCAGCTGAACTGGATTGAAAATCATACCAGACTCTTTTTAAAATTGCACTGCAGCCGCCCTGCACATAAGTGAACCGGCTCCATAGAAAGCCGGTTTGGTTCACATGTTATGCGAATCGAATGGAGTTCAAAATGCATCCAATTTAGTGGTGCACCGAAATGAAAATTCTGGTGCCGAAACTGAAACTTCAAAATGCACTTGGCCAAAAAACAAAATGCAGTTTTCAAAAATGAATATATATTTTTCGGAAAAAAAAATACACTTTGATTAAAAAAAAAACAAAAAACAAAAAAAATATATACACACCCCAATTTTTTTGAAAAATATGAAAGAGGATGTTACGGCGAGTAAATAACCAACATGTCACGCTTTAAAATTGTGCATGCTCGTGGAATGGTGTGAAACTGCAGTACTTAAAAATCTTCATGGGTGATGCTTTGTAACTTTACACTGATAACCTGTAGAAAATTGTAGAGGAGGTCTAGTGTGAGAATTATTGCTCTTGCTCTGACGTTCGTGGCGATACCTCACATGTGTGGTTGAAACACCGTTTACATATGTGGGCATGGCCTGTGTATGTGTTCACCACTATGTGCGAGCATTGGAGGGACTTTAAAAAAAATTGTAATCACTTTTATTCTTATCACAAGGAATGCATGCATCCCTTGTGACAGAAATAATTAGTGACAGGTCCACTTTATGGAGAGAGATATGGGGTCAATAAGACCACACATCTCTCCTCTGCAATGTAAAGCATTGGATATAAAAAAAAAAAAAAAAAAAGCATTGATCTAGTGCTTTGAACAAAAATAAAAAATAAATGGCTGGAACCGGAAGTGACATAGCTCCAGTCCTCCAAGGGCTTAGAGATGAGTGGAGGCCATCTTTCCTTTACTCATCTCTATGCCCAGTACCGGGATCGTTCGATGATTTCTCAGGTGAGTCTGAGAACTACCAGGCGACGGCGGCAAGTGGCGGAATTTTTTCAGCACCTGTATCGGTGCTTTTTTTCTCATTTCGGCTGATGGCCGAAAAGGGGTGTTTTCAGCCGAAACGTTTCAGCCACCGAAATGTCGGTGCATCCCTAATCCAATTCGCATATATGTGAACCTGGGCTCAAAATCATGGTCATAGCCTGCCTGGACAAAATATTTGTCTATACAAAAGGTTTCACAAGCTGGTCATACATTACATTTTTTTTCACCCAGCTGTATGAATGAAACTTGAGTGGATTACCCCATCCTCAGACACTTGAGGTGGATAAAAGAATCCTTCCCACTGTGTCTCTGTATTCAGACAGTAGATCTCTCCTGCCGTCAAAATACACTGATCAGCGCTGCAGCCCACTGGCTACATGTGCTGATCAAGCAGGACTCTCCAACAAGCCCATTCATGAAAAGTCAATCAATAGATTGACTCGTCATGAACATGGGTCGAAGATCAGCTAGTTCCTTCTGAATCAGGCAAATTTCGATGTATAGCCAGCTTACAAACGTATTGTTCGTGTAACCATTGTGCCTAGTAACAAGATTCAAACATTTTCCCAAACGCCACATTTTCTAGATTGCTGGTTAACCACTGATGGTGGTCGTTGGTTTTAGAATAAGAAAGGATCAGAGAATAGAACATATGCAGAACAATGGTAACTTTAGGGAATACTTTAAATAGGTGTGAAAGAAGCCACTGAAAGCTTTGAGTCAGAAGACACCTTTGTCTAGGCAATTACCATGAGGCTTTAAAAGCGGAACGCCAGGAAGATATACAAAAACTAATGCAACTCTGTCATCATTAATACATATTTTTATTGGAATGAGTGCAAGTACCTAAATTTGATCTAGTAAAGTCCCTGTACAGCATAGTTTGGAAAGGAAGAGGTAGAAGCAGCATAAGGAGCTGCCAATCAACTTTACTGCAGAGCACTACGGGACATGCTAATAGCAGGAGAGAGCAGAGGGACAGAGAGATGAGCTCATGAGTATGCGTCTCCTTTCACTGGCTGGTCACAAGCTGGGGAGGGACAAGACTTGTGTAAGTTTTACTTAACTGCAGCAGAGAAAATCCAGACTCTTGCCCTATCAGACAGGGGTGTGATGTGTGCCAGAGCTGTGTAAATCTCAGGATAAAAATACAAATTCTATGGCAGGAAGCAGTTCCCATATATGTCCGTTGTTTGTACAGTATATTTAGCTGTTTGGCTGGAGTGAAGTGTTACTAAACCCACAACAGTAAAACCAGTCTGTATATGCAGTAATCTTCTGCATAGTGTAAAAAAAGGTGTTTGATCCTTCCCTTCTTTCAGTGTCCCCCTCTTATCTCCTGATAAGACATATCATGTGGAGAAACTCTGCACATGCTCAATTTGGTGTGTATTGCTAGAGGTTTTTTTTTTTTTCTTGGGAGAGTGCATGTGATCAGAACAGGGCCAATCAGCAGTGTCTAGACAGAGGTCAGGGGTTCTGCATCCTCCTAGAGAAAACTCCTCATACAAGCTTTAACCAGTACTCTGCTGGACACTGATAGAAGTCACAAGACTGCTGATGAGAAAAAAGTATTTAGCAGTTTATATTTACTAAAATAATTGCATTTCCATGTTCTGTGTACTGTGGGAGACCAGATATAGTGAATGCAGGGTCCGGGGAGACCAGATATAGTGAATACAGGGTCCTGGCTTTAGTAACACTTTAAAAGAAGTGCAGGAACATAAAAAAAAAAAACACATACTCACCTACATGGCTGCAGCATCGAATGGATGTCGCAGCTGCCCCCTGCAGCTTTAAGCCCAAGAACTGAGTGATCACATGGACCCTGATAGCTCAGTTCTCGGTCTTCAATGAGCAGAGAGCAGTGACTATCAGTCAGCGTCTCTCTGCACTGCCCCCCCCAGCGCTCACTGGAGCGCCAGGCTATGGAGGGGGCAGGAATGGCTGGCTCAGGCTCTCAGGGGCACTCTGACAACCTGAGCCAGCTGCTCGTCAGGCATCTGGGTGGATCCTAACATTGTCGGGATACATCCAGAGATTGAAGCATCTCTGAAGTCAACAGACTTTTGTTGTTCAAATGAAAAAATGCTGATCTTTTTTTCTTGTCTCGGTCTCTTCTACATAAAAAAAAACAAAACAAAAACAAAAAAACAACAAAAAAATAAATAAAAAAAACACAACAACCACCCTTTCTTCTCTCTCCTATTTTTTTTTTAATGGTATACACTGCCTGTGGTGCATGAGCAGTGCGGTTCACACTTTGGATCTCTGGCATTGCAGCAGGGTGCCAGGGATGATGTTTCCTCCCTGTTGAAGCATGGGAGTTACATTAGGAGTGGCCTTTAATGGCAGGAGAGGGAAGCCAGCAAAACCAGAAGAGAAGATGACGGCACTAGTGGACAGAGAAATGAGAGACAAGAAAGCAAGGCAGAAAGTCTGCCACTAAAGTTCCACTTTAATGATGTATGGGGGACAGACCACAGAGCTATGCCCAAGATACAGGCGGTATAAAGCCGACTCCTAGTCCATGGATGCAAAGGTACATTCAAATAGCTATTCCATCAATGGCAGTTCATCCCTGATATAAGAAAAAATGTAATTTAACTCACCAATCTTTGACAAAAGACTGGAAAAGAGGAGAAAATCCCATATTATGAGGGAGTACTGGAGGTTCTTCTTGAAGGACTTTGGTGAGAACTTCAAAGTCTGTCTTGCAGTTCTTGTAAGGGAATTGACCTGTGGCTAACTCCACCTAAGAGACAATGAGAACGATGAAGAGAAGACAAAGAATACAGCGAGTTCTAGTGTGAGTAAGATCATCAGAGATTGGTGGGTAATACAGACGACTGTGGAAATAGCTCACCAATGAGATCCCGAGACTCCACACATCTGCTCGGATATCATAGTCTGGTTTAGTGGGGTCTGGAGGATCAATTCTCTCAGGCTGAAGAATACAAGAAATGTAAGCACTAAGCAAAACTCATGGCCCTTTTCCGCCATTCTTTTTTCTAAACTTCCCCACCCAACTTACAGCCATATAAGCAGCACAACCAGCACTTCTGGTTTTGGCCTTTGAGTCCACAAGACGCCCACTGATTCCAAAGTCACACAGCTTGATCCGTCCACTTGCATCCAGAAGTATATTTGAAGGTTTGACATCCCTGTGAATCACTCCATGTTTTTCTTTCAGATAATACAAGGCATTTACAATCTATGAGGATCAAAGAAAGAGTCAGGTTTGCAGGGAGTTGCCTAAAACACTGTTTCTCAACCTTTTTTCAGTCAAGGCACTCTTTAAAATTACGGACAGTCCCGAGGCACCCTTTATTAGAATAGTTTTTCACATTTTAGAATGGGGTGCCTCAAGAGTGTCCATAATATTAGTCTTATATAAACTCAGCAACATCCACACCTGTAGGACACCCAACATTAGAGGTGATTTATTCTTCCAAAGAAAATACACTTTTGCACACTGGTACTGACTAGTATTCCAATGTTTCTCCTCTCCCTCTTTCTCCATCACTGAGCTAATGTGACCCCAGCACTGATGGAAAGGGGCTGTTGGAGGGTCAAACTAGGATGCTGTGCAGGCAGCTGACATCCTCCTTATCAACTGATGGTTGTCAGGACGCTAGAAGGTTGTAATGATGTACAATGAAAACCTGTTGCTTTGTGTAACTAAAAGGCAGGCTTATCCCACCCGCTGGCTTGTTTACAAGTTTTGGGCAATGTTTAGACATTTTGCCAAGGCACCCCTGAAGAAGCCTCAAGGCACCCCTGAAGAAGCCTCAATGCACCCCAAAGCGCCTGGGCACCCTGGTTGAGAAAGGTTGAGAAAGGCTGGCCTAGAATACTATACTTAAAGTTTATGTAAATGAAAATCTCGTATTCGATTCCTACTGGTTTGCTACATAAATCATTGAAAGTGTTTAATTATTTTTGTTTGACAAGTTAAAATAAAAACCTGCTGAAATTACCTGGAAAAACTTGCTAGGTAATTTTGTATACATGCTACCTTTGCTGTACTCTTATCGGTTACATTGTTTCCAGTTTTCTGAGGACTACAGATCACCATCACCACCCTATGATATGGAGAAATGGAGGTCAGGGTGTTCTGTACTCCCATCCTTGGGATGAACATTGCTACCTTAGGACACGAAATTTGATACGGACAAGGTAACCGGGTGCAAACAAAAGGAGAAAAAAAAAAATGGAGCGCAGCCTTTACATGTAAGAACAGGTAATGCTGCATTATAATACCTTTCTTGCCTTAATGTTTTGGATACAGTAAAAAAGAAACACTTTTCTCAAAATTAACCAAGCCGTGTAGGAAACTGTGCGGAGAATGTCAATACTCAAATATGAGCTCCTGATCGTACACCCTATAATGCATCGGCAACAGCTTCTGTCTAAGGTCTTCTCAAGCCTGTCCACCTTCACCTCCATCTAACCATATTCTAGGAAAATCTGGGACAGCCAATCACAGAAACTGGGAAGTAGCCCTAGAGCCAGAGATACACAGCAAAGACATTTAGAAAAGCAGACCTGCTGATGGATATCAGTGTGTGACCCCCAAAGCTTGAATATCTGGATTTACTCACTGCTACAGTCATCTTTCCCAAAATGCTCTCTGGTATGGGACCCTGGATCCTTTTCTTCAGTTTTTTCTGCACAGGTTCCCATCAGCTCCATGGCTATGAACACATCAGTCTTTAATCAAAACAAAAAAGAAAAAAGTTTTTTTTTTTTTTTTTTTTTAACCAAACCCCCACAAATGACAGCTCATTGAACACAAAGATATTGGCCCCAGATTACTTTATAGAACACTAACTCGTGTTTGCTTCTGCATCTGGAGTGCCATTATTAATGGCATTGAAAGAGCAACTAGTTCATTTTAGGTGTATAAAAGGTGGCCATAAACTATACAATCTGATTGTACAATCTCTGTACGAACGCCTTTCGATTTACCATAACTATATATAAATAAGAGGACACACCATCTATCCAATCACTCTGTATCCAATCAGGCAGGCCCTTGCACAACATAGCTAATGGCAGATCTAAAGGAGAGTATACAGTCAGATTGTATAGTGTATGGTGAGCTTTACAGACTGCCAGGGACACACTTCTCCTGTTTTCAGTACTACAGTGCTGCTCCACATAGGCGGTTATCTGATTGCTCAGCTGCTTTACTCTGCCAAATGAATGATCTATGCAAGATGAAGGTAGAAAAAAAACAAAAAAAAAAAAAAACAACAACCACGGGGGAACTTAGTCTTTAACCATTAGCCTGCTGGGCACTTATATACCCCCTTTCTGCCCAGGCTAATTTTCAGCTTTCAAAGCTGTCGCACTTTGAATTACAATTGCGCGGTCATGCAACACTGTATCCCTATGAAATTTTTGTATGTTTTTTTTTTCAACAATAGGGCTCTCTTTTGATGGTATTTAATCACCCCTGGGTTTTCATCCTTTGCACTATAAAAGAATAATTAAAAAAAAACCACAAATTTTGAAAAAAAGTTTTCCTTGTTTTCTGCAAATAGGTAATTTTTCTCCTTCACTGATGTGAATTGATGAAGCTGCACTGATGGACACTGATGAGGTGGCACTGGTGTGCATTTATGAGCAGACACTGATGAGGCTGCACTGATACGCAGCACTGATAGGCAGCAATGGTGGGCACTAATAGGCAGCACTGACTGGCACAGATGGGCAGCACTGATACTAAATACCTTGGACTGTCTCCTTTCCAAAAAGGGGTCATTTGGGCGATATTTGTACTGTCATGGCAGGATTTTCAGATATACTCTATATTGCCAAAAGTGTTAGGACGCCTGCCTTTTCACGCACATGAACTTTAATGACATCCCAGTCTTAGTCCGTAGGGCTCAATATTGAGTTGGCCCTGCCCTTTGCAGCTATAACAGCTTCAACTCTTCTGGGAAGGCCGTCCACAAGGTTTAGGAGGGTGTCTATGGGAATGTTTGACCATTCTTCCAGAAGCACATTTGTGAGGTCAGGCACTGATGTTGGGCGAGATGGCCTGGCTCACAGTCTCCACTGTAATTCATCCCAAAGGTGTTCTATCGGGTTGAGGTCAGGACTCTGTGCAGGTCAGTCAAGTTCCTCCACCCCAAACTCGCTCATCCATGTCTTTATGGACCTTGCTTTGTGCACTGGTGCGCAGTCATGTTGAAACAAGAAGTGGCCACCCCCAAATTCTTCCCACATAGTTGGGAGCATGAAATTGTCCAAAATGTCTTGGTATGCTGATGACTTAAAAGTTCCCCTCACTGGAACGAAGGCCAAGCCCAACCCTTGAAAAACAACCTCACACCATAACCCACCTTTCACCAAATGTTACACTTGGCACAATGCAGTCAGGCAAGCAACCGCCAAACCCAAACAGGTCCATCGGATTGCCAGACAGAGAAGCGTGATTCATCACTCCATAGAACATGTCTCCACTGCTTTAGAGTTCATTGGTGGTGTGCTTTACACCACTGCATCTGACACTTTGCATTGGTGATGGAAGGCTTGGATGCAGCTACTCAGCCATGGAAACCCATTCCATGAAGCACTCTACATACTGTTGTGCTAATCGGAAGGCCACATGAAGTTTGGAGGTCTTTTGTTATTGACTCTGCAGACAGTTGGTGACTTCTGCGCACTGTGCGCTTCAGCATGGGCTGATCCCACGCTGTCATTTTACGTGGCCTATCACTTCGTGGTTGAGTTGCTGTTGTTCCCAGTTGCTTCCACTTTGTTATAATACCACTAACAGTTGACCGTGGAATATTTAGTAGCCAGGAAATGTCACGATGACTTATTGCACAGGTGGCAACCTATCACGGGACCACGCTTGAATTCACTGAGCTCCTGAGAGCGACCCATTCTTTCACAAATGCTTTTAGAAGCAGTCTGCATGCCTAGGTGCTTGATTTTATACACTTGAATCCAATGATTTGGAGGGCTGGCCCAATACTTTTGGCAATATAGTGTATATATTAGTTTGTGGACTCTATAGCTTTCCTACAGACCAACACTGATTTTGGTTATTTTCATCAAAAGAATGTAAAAGTATACATTTTGGCCAAAATTAACGAAGAAAGATCATTTGCAAAAATGTTATTTAGCAAAAAAAAAAAAAAAAAAAAAAAATTGAAAACCCAGCTGTGATTAAATACCACCAAACATGTGAAAAAAAGGATTAAAATGTCATATGGGTACAGAGTTGCATGACCGAACAATTGTCATTCAAAGTGTAACATGTCTAAAAATTGTCCTGGGCAGGAAGGGGGTGAAGGCGACCGGTACTGAAGTAGTTAAATCAATAAACTCACATTTGTGATGAAAGTGCCATAACATTGTACTATGTATGGGCAATCATGGCTCTTCAGTACAACATCCAAATCCATCAAAATACGTTTGTTCTCCTCCTTGTTTCCTGAACGGCGCATTTGCTGAAAGATAAAGAAAGTTACTAGGTTTTCAGCATTCCACCAGATATCACCATGCTTTCTGCTGGCCTAAAACCCCGGTCACATCGGGTTTGCCTTGGCATGCCCTACTGTCCGCAATTGTAGCGGTCATATCGGTGCAGTTCCGACTTGGTCGGAGCCGCACCGATTCCTAAAGTAGTGGCACGTCACTTCACTATAAGTTGCACAATTTCAAAGTTGGGCTTGATGTGACCGGGGTGTTAAAGTAGGACTCAGGTCAAATATTTTTTTTCTTGCAGTATATCTAAAATCCATATTTTTGTTTTAGTGGTAGATTACCTAGGAAATGGTCAATGCTCCTGTTATTTTTTTATTTCTTTCTTTTTAGCCTGCGTTGTCCAATGTGAAATTAAAAAGCTTTGCCTTTAGATATTTAGGCAGTCCCCCGGAGTTAGGAACATTCGAGTTATGAACAACTCATACTTCCAAACAGGGGAAGAAACAAGGTGAGAGGAAATCTACCCCTAGGAAGGGACATTCACTCCTGTAAGTGTTCTCAAGGGGAAAAAAAGGTGTCTCCACTGAAGGTTTCTCACCAATCCTTGTTTTCACGACAACCCAAAATGTTCCAAATCCAATTGTCACAGGGACAGAAGGTGAGATGAAATCTTCTGCACATGGGCAGAAACAGCAAAATAAACAATACAGGGGTGTAAGACCCTTCCCTATGCTATCCAAAAGACTTCAAAATTATTTTTTGGTTGGAGCTACATTTAAATAATGTACCTGTTCCAACTTACAAATTCGACTGAAGAACAAACCTACAGACCCCATCGTGTTCGTAACCTGGGGACTGCCTGTACTTTAAATCAGATTTCCTGTGAAAGGCAAGATTGTACATAATAGACCAGTGGGTTGTGTTTTGCCTTTCTTAGGCCACAGAACTGCTGAGGTTTTACCCTCGGTTCACATCTGTGCGGGTGGTGCCGCTGCGGATCCGCACGAAAATCGGTGCAGCCACACCACCCGCACAGAGAAATGCGGACCCGTGGATGGGTGCCATTAGTTCTAATGGCACACCCGCCCGCACTGGAAAACGCATCCGTACTGGGAACCGAGGTTCCCGTGCGGGCTGCATTTTCCAAAGAAGTGCAGGGACTTCTTCCCTGCATGTCATGGGCGTCCATTCAAATGAATGAGCTCTCGTGCCCGTGCAAAACGAGGCCCGCACAGCCGCATATATGTAAACCGGGGGTTAAAGAGGGATGAGTTTTCCTCTTAAAGAGGATCTTGCACCTAAAAATCAAGGACTACTTTTAAGCATGTGCACCCCCTCCCCCCAAAATAGAAAAAAAGTGCATATAACATGCAGGTGGAAAAAAAAGCTTTTATCCACGGTGACTAGGCAAGGGTGATGTTATCCTCCTTCCAGCAAAACCTGGAGAATGTAAAGTGATCCAAGTCTTGCTGACAAGATCATGGATACTGCAACAACATACATAACAGAGGGCGCACTGGCCTAGTGCATTATCCTTAAATGATGGCTTTATTTTGTAGAAAGGTAAGTATTATATTCACAAAGTAGACTAAAAGTACAAAGCCTAGGCTCTGAGGAAGAGGCAAAGTCCTTGAAACGCGTCAGCCTGTTGAGACTCCATTTTATGATGCACTGTGGATTGGACTGTGCTGTTTCCATGCGATGAGCTTGGACTTTTAGTGAACTTTGTTAGTATAGTACTTACCTTTCTATATAATAAAGCCATAATTTAAGGATAATGCACTAGGCCAGTGCGCCCTCTGTTTTGTTTGTTGTTGCAGTACCTCTAGACCTCCCTCGTGAGGGCAGCAAGGTGAGAGCATCTTATGAAAGGCAGGATAGCACTGCAGCCTACTGACATTTTTGGCCCACTCTCCAAGCGCAGGAGCACTAAGGTTTGCTAGTTTTTCTGACAGGATCATGGGAAGACCCTGCAGCACAGTGCTGGGAGAGTCTCCATTCAGCAGCAGGATGACCCACTGTTTGTAGAAGCCAGAGGAATCTAACTTTTTTCATTGAAGGTGCTTTTTTTTTTCTAAAGCTTATTTTGCACTTCAGTAAGGGAGCACATAAAAAAACAAAAAAAAACACTTGTATGGAGTGCAAGGTCCACTTTAATGGCTTCCTCTCCACCCTATAGCAGAAATACTGCTACTGGGTGGCAGGGCTACGCAAAATCACGTATATACACGTGATTTTGCAGTTTCGGATAGGGGGTGCAAGCGAGCCTCAGCTGTCGATCACCGGGTCTCGGCCGCTGATTACTCGCTGGCACCCAGCGATCGCCAAGTATCTCTTTCAGGGAAGAGACCTGTATGTAAACAATACAGATCTCTCCCCTGTCTGCTCCATCACACTGCTTTGAATGGCTCTGCAAAGCAGAACCAAAGTAGTGTGCTTACAGTGAAACACAGCCCACATAGTAAAACAGCACACAGTTAACCCTTTGATCGCCCCTCCTGTTAACCCCTTCTGGCCCAGTGCCATTAGTACAGTGTCAGTGCTTTTTATTAGCACTGATCACTGTATTGGTTTCACTGGGGATGTCAGTGACACCAAGCCAGTTTTCCCCCCAGTTTCAGAATGCCCGCCGCAGTCCCGCTATAATTCGCTGATCACCGCCATTACTAGTAAAAATTAAAAAAAAATTCTTGTATCTATACCGCCATTTGTAAATGTTATAACTTTCATCTAAACTAATTTACACGCATTGGAATTTTTTTTTTTTTGAGCAAAGACATGTTGCAGAATGCATTTTGGCCTAAATTTATGATGAAATTTGAATATTAAAATTTTTTTACTGGACAGGTTTAACCACTTGCCTACAGGGCACTTATACCCCCTTCCTTACCAGGCCAAATTTCAGCTTTCAGCGCTGTTGCACTTTGAATGACAATTGCGTAGTCATGCAACATTATACCCATATGAAAGTTTTATCATTTTTTTTCTCACAAATAAAGCTTTCTTTTGGTGGTATTTACTTGCCGCTGGGTGTTTTACATTGTGTGCTATAAAAAAAAAAATAAAAAAAGTAAAAAATTAAATAAAAAAAATTAAAAAAAGTGTCTATTTCTATTATAAAATTTTGCAAACAGGTAATTTTTCTCCTTCACTGATGTGTTTTGATGAGGCTGCACTGATGGTCACTGATAGGCAGCACGGATAGATGGCACTAATGAGGTGGCACAGATTTGGTGGCACTGATAGACAGCACTGATGATGGGTACTGATAGTCGGCACCGATGGGTGGCACTAATAGGCGGCACTGATGATGGGCACTGACAGGCGCAACTGCTGGGCACTGGGGGGTGGCACTGGTGGGCATAGTTGGGTGGCAGAACTGGTGAGTGGCACTGGTGGGCACCGATCATCAGGGCACTGATAATCAGTTCCCTGATGATCGGTGCCGATTCCTGCTCTGACAACTGCCAGTTCTCGGCAGTACTTTACTCACGCTCTGACAGCGTGAGGAAAGTGCAGCCGAGAACCGGCAATTGCATTTACCTGTGATCAGCGTGTCATTGGACACAGCTGATCACGTGGTAAAAGGCTGCTGTGATTGGCCTTTCACCACAGCACATGGTCAGCTGCGTCCGTAGGACACAGCGATCATGGAGATCAACGGTGCGTGCCCCCGGGGCGTGCAGGAGAGCGCGTTCTGAGAGGACGTCATACGACGCCCTCCCAGAACTGGACGGCCGCAGTGCAGCAGTCATTCGGCTATCTGCAGTCAGCAACTAGTTAATAGTAAAAAGTCAAAAATATTGTTTTTTTTCTCAAAATTCTCGGTCTTTATTTGTTTATAGCACAAAAGATAAAAACCACACAGGCGATCAAATACCACCGGAAGAAAGCTCTATTTGTGGGAAAAAAGGGACATAAATTTAATTTGGGTGCAGCGTTGCATGATCGCGCAATTGTCAATTAAAAGAACACAATGAAGTGTCGCAAAAAAATGGTCTGGTCAGTAAGCGGGGTAAATCCTCAGGAGGGCGAGTGGTTAAACCAACTATAAAACTTTTGACAAAGATAGCCCTCAGGCAATAACATAAAAGGTAAGCCAGCCCAAAACCAATATCTCCCAGAGAAATCTCCGCACTTGTGTTCTGGGTTAGCAATGCCCATTATGAAAGGTCCTCCGTGTCTGTGCTGACTTTCCTTAGTTACATTTTGAAGTCCAAAACACGAGGAGCCAAGATGGACACAAGGTGAGCAGGAACAACAAAAAATCCCAGGTAAACAAGAATGAGAATTATGGCAGGCAGATATCCCCTTTAGAGAACAGAAGACAACAAGCCAGGGGTTCACTCATTTCAACAGATATGGGTGGTCTGATCCTTTAACCCACAGCTTGCTGTTATCTTCCGTACAACGCAAGTTCAAGTATAAGATCAACTCTACACCACCATCCTGGTAAAGATGAAATGACCAGTATTTTCTGTGATCTTTCAGATTAGTCATAACTATATTCTTTACAGTCCATACTAACAATGATCACATACCTTCACAGCAATGATATGTCCGGTCTTCTTAAACCTCATCTTCCAGACTTGTCCACAAGTTCCATTACCGATTTCTCCTAAATTCTCTAAGTCATTTATATCTGCCTGGTATTTCTGAGAACAAGAACATGGCGAGAAAGCTGCAACTTAGTAGCTGTCATATAGAATCATATATAGTAGAATTGTATTTATTTTTTAAATTTATAAAAGGCAGCAAGAGAGTACAGAAATATTGTCACATCAAATCCAGATAGCCATCACATTGTCCTTTGTATAATAACTAGTCAGCATCAAAATTATGACCTGACCACAGTCCAAGCTCCTCTACTGTCCCATCCCACTGACCCTGAGCTGTCTTGTATTTATGGCTACATCCTTGGTCCTGAAATTATCTTGTACCCATCACAGATGAATTATTACTTGGCCTTTACACTATCATATACTTACCAGAGAGATTTACCAATTAACGCCATCTTGTAATTATCATTAGAACTCATTGTGAAAACTGGTCTGAATTTATCAAAGACCTAGAACAGATCTTTTAAATAATTTTTCATCCTACTAAAGAGAATCTGTCAAGAATAAAATTTGGTAAATGTGCTGAAATTGAGGAGGGGGGTGTAGGTGAAGGTAATGGTCTACGGAAAGAGGGAACGGGAAAAATGGTGCTAGAAAGTTACAGAGTTAAATACACTGCAGCCTATGTATATACCATACCTGGCCAATTCTCCTGGAAGCTGGAAATCACTAGGAAGACACCGCTACTCCAGTGATCTCCAACAGCTTCCAGGTCCCGAGCCAAGTGGCTGCCCTGCTGCATTCTGAACACAGGAGGGTGTCATTTGAAGAATGCTATGCATTTTCTGAATAAATGCAAAGTGTTCTCTGATTCGATAAGCTGGAGATGTGCGGCCATGAACATGTTATAACCAAGTTATTCTGTCACTAATAAATCACTATGGGCTTCCTAACCACCAAATACAGCAATATCTATATCAACGATCACTGTGTATTATCTCACCTGTCCATCAATTAACAGGTATCCAGTCTGCTTAATAATTTCTTGCAGCTTCTGGTCAATTTCAGTACTGAAAAAAAGGAAGAAAAAAAAAAAAAAAATCAGTCCCAATGCCCTAACCATCACAGACTATTCTACAGCTCAATGCAGTTTCAAGTTTACATAAAGTCTTAGATTGTAAACTCCCAGGATCAGGCCCTCCTAAACCTCTTGTATTGAACTGTATTGTTGCTATATTGTCTCCCGTTTTATTGTAAAGCGCTGCGCAAACTGTTGGCGCTATATAAATCCTGTATTATAATAATAATAATAATAATAATAAAGACCACAAAAATATAAAAGAGTGGGCATACGAAGTAAACAATTTCAGACGAGACGTTATCCTCAGAAACCAGGTCTGAGATAGACATTAGATTTGCTCTATGCAATGTGAGCCCCAGGTGGGATTCAAACTCCGGTCCCAAAGCACCATGGAAACAGTGATAGCCATTTAGCCATCACACCGAATTTAAAGCCAAACTCCACAAAAAAAAAAAAAATTAAAAACTACTAGCACCCCCCATCCCCTTAAAATTGTATGCTAAGAATCCAACTTGCTGGCTGTACTCAAGTCAATCAATGGATTGAATTGGGTACAATCAGACTGCCCACAGATGGATCAAATCTCAGCTGGTCCCTGCTGAATCCACCAAGGTTTGAACCATCTTATGGCTGTCTTTCATTATCCAAATAAATTCATTAAAGCCTATGACAGAGCCAACATGTTTCAGGAGTCAGAAAATATCCGCTTTTATCAGGGCTTGAAGCAAGAAGTACTGGAGTGAATGTAAAATATATGATGGTTAAACTGGGCAGATAATAAAGCAGCCAATGACAAACTGTGCATGAATATCTGCCCTGTTTAACCATCATATACTTTGGGTGCTCATTTAGGACATTACAAGGAGACAGAAAAATATAAACAGTTTCATAAAAAAAACACAAAAAAGAATTGCAGAGCCAATAAGTACTGGACGTGTATGGATTATTTTTTGGAGAATGAAGTATATAGTTTAGTGTCACTTTAAATGAGGATGTCTGCACAATCAATATAATATTTAAACAACTATTACGACCCAGTGTGACAAAGTCCTGTTCTCACCTCTCCAAGCTCCGCTGCGTCAAGTAGTTGGTTTGTGGCAGGTTCAACATGTGCCGTGGCCGGACAGGTAGTGACGGGTGATGATGTGCGGAGCTGTCGGAGCGGCTGTGTCCATCATTGGCAAGAGGAAGTTGTAACGCTGGATGAAAAGAGGGTGAAACACAGAGAAGGGACAAAGATCGGGGAACAGAGATAAGCTACGAGCAACAGCAGTGCCCCATCATTCCCTGAACACCCCATTCAAAACCCATTACCTTCTCCTTAAAGTAAAGCAAACATGTCCCTTAACTGAATTTATGGATGTGGCCTGAGAATTTAAGAGCAAAAATCTAGAGGCATCTGCACAGACATCTGCTTAGTCTTCAGGCACATACGGAGCATCCAAAACATGGGGACTCAATATGAAAATTGCAATTTTCCAAATCTGGAATCTGATTTTGGCTGTAAAGCCAAATCCTTCAACAAAACATGCTGCGTCTGACCAACATTTCAGAGCGGAGTCAGAGCTGGCACCTTGGTTTTGGGCTCCCAGGGAACTCTGAAGGCACCTCTAGGATCCTGCTCTTCTTGTTTCAATTCAGTAACGGTAAGTAGTTGACAGATTTACTAAGCTCTGTCTTATAAACTGAACATTTTTACGTCAGTAATTTGTGTTCCTATACAGCAAACCCCATTAAATTTGTTATACCCCATGCAATGTGCCGTGTACATATCTCTGTCATCTGGATATTGAAATTGTAGCTCTGTTTTACAGGCAAAGGTTGATCTTGTAAGGTATGACAGTGAAAAGAAACATCTTTGTAGATTTCTAATTCCCTTACATTGGTACAGGCTCCACACCATCCAAAGTAAATGTAGATTCAGAACTGGTGTGATCACTCACTCTTTAGTTTCCAATAGCATTTTGGGCTCCTAGGTGGTAAGGCCTCAAAGTCAATAGATTTCACATGCTTGGCTAATTTTGTTACCAACCGTAGCACCATCTTCCTTCTGAATGCCCCATCTACACTCCCTCGATTAACTACACCTTTTCAATTGCTTGGTAAGACAAACTGCTAAACAGCCAATCACATAGCGGCAACTCAATGCATTTAAGCATCTAGACATGGTGAAGACAACTTGCTGAAGTTCAAACCAAACAGAATGGGGAAGTAAGGGAATTTTAGACTTCGTTCACACCAATTCATTTAGTGCTTTTTGCAGAAAGGCACTACAGACCATTTAACATGGTTTCCTATGAGATATGTTCACACCTATGCTTTTTTGAGCTGCTGCGTTTTTTGGAAAGGGTCAGGGACTTTTTTAAAATGCAAAAGCAGCATTTTTGCTATATTAGAGTTCAATGGGGAAGCTGCTGAAACACATGTAGTTCGTTTTTACTGTGTTTTGCCTTTTAAGTCTGCCCAGCAAAAAAAAAAAAAAAAAACCACGGCAAAACCCGAATGCAAAAAAGCAAAACTGCACTGCAAAAAGGACAAAAAGCACAATGCATTGGTGTGAACCATTCCTAAGTGACTTTGAATGTGGCATGTTTGTTGGTGCCAGATGGGCTGGTCTGAGTATTTCAAAAGATGATCTACTGGGATTTTCACGCACAACCATCTCTAGGGTTTACAGAGAATGATCCGAAAAAGAGAAAATATCCAGTGAGCGGCAGTTGTGTGGAAAAATGCCTTGTTGATGTCAGAGGGCAGAGCAAAATGGGCAGACTGGTTGCTGCGACATTCAGATGTCGGGTCCGAATTTTGCATAAACAATATGAAAGCATGGATCCATCCTGCCTTGTATCAACAGTTGTATCAACAGTGGTGGTGTAATGGGGTGGGGGAGATTTTCTCCAAAGCCAAATCCTGCAATAAAACATTCTGCGTCTGACCAACACTTCAGAGCGGAGTCAGAGCTGGCACCTTGGTTTTGGGCTCCCACAGAACTCTGAAGGCACCTCTAGGATCCTGCTCTTAGCTTCTGGTTTCAATTCAGTAACGGTAATCAGATGACAGATTTGCTAAACTTGTGTCTTACAAAATGAACATCTTTGAGTAATTTGTGTTCCTATACAGCAAACCCCATTTAAACACATATATGTCAATGGTTTTCCACATGTAGAAACCTGTACAAACATAAAGGGAACACAATGCATATAATTCTTACACTATCTCCATCTTACCTTACAGTATCACACTTGCCATAAAGGTTGAGCCATTCCTACCTTCTGTCCGCCAACCTCACCCTATTTGTTAGGATTCCCTGAGCTCATGCTCCATACAAAGTCTACATGCCAGATCCACACTGCATGCAACATTCCCCATCCCATGCACAAAGACAGGTGGGAGAGCGATGCCAAGCATGAGCAGAAGACTGAGAAGGAGCTGTAGATACACATGAAGGGGCAGATTAAGGAAACACAGTCAAATTAATTTAAAAGGGGGGGGTTGCATGTTAAGAGTGACATAGGGGGAAGTTAGCTGCGCCTGGAGCAAGTAAGGAGATGAGAAGGGCAATCAGATACCTGCTCGCTGGGATGGAGCGGGCGTGGGGCTTAGAGTGATGAGAATAACTGGGGGAGAAATAGGGGAAAAAAAAAAAATCAAACACAAAATACAAAGCAACCCAGGAGAGAACAGGAAACAAGAGGAGATCTGGTCTGAAGAGGAGAAAGGACATGTGGACAATGAACAAGAGAAAACAGGAGGGAGGAACAATGGCTGAAAATAAAAGAACACAGCAATGGAGACTGGATGGCAGGGAAAAGGTCAAATGAAATGGAGAATATGAAGATATAAAACATTTCCCATACACATAAAAATGAAAACATTTAATCTCTATGTGAACTCCCTCAAGAGTTGGTTCTGGCCAGCTCAGTGGATTGCTTTAAAAAAGTCCTGGATTGTTTCTTGGATACACAGAATATAACTGGATACTAACATTTATAGGTAAAGTTGATCCAGGGAATATCCGATTGCCTCTCGGGGGATCAGCAAGAAATTTTTTTTCCCTGCAGAAGCAAAATTGGTTCATGCTTTTCTGTGTTTTTTTTTTTTTGCCTTCCTCTGGATCAACTGTGGGTATAGGATTATAACTTTTTTTTTTTAATGAACTGGATGGACTTTTGTGTTTTTTTCAGCCAGACTATGTAACACAATGCTGGAAATACTCTAGGAGCCACCTTTGAAATCCTAAAATGAAGATGGCTGTACCTAATTTTTTGGCCTTGCATACTGTTTTCAAGGCATGTATGTGATCTTTAGCTACACCAAGACCTTTTGTAGATGGGTCTCTGGGGGGCATTAAGCCCAGTGAGCTGTTCACTAAATCCACTAGTGCCAGTAGTATCCATTGTATCACCCTGATTCCTACATAAACAGTGATCTCTCAAACAATTCACATGCCTTGATTGGATTTTCCTACAATGTTTGTTAACATTTATCTCAGCTTGATTAAGATTTCGACTGAAAAGACTGAAAAGAAAAATCAATGGCTTACTCTGTCTTTTCATTTAATCAATATCCATGTTCTAATGCTGGTCATACATATGACAGGTTTCTCACAACTCCAAGCACATTTTGATCATAAATAACCAAATGGATCAATGCAAGCTGCCAAAAACAGTTTGTGTTTCTATATCCATATGCCAGGGATGGTGGCAGGTTGCCTTAATCTGCTTGATTAAGCTGCTTTCACACTGATCAGTTTTTGTTCAGTTAAATAAAAGTGCATGAAAAATGTATCCCTTTAAATCCTATGGAACCCTTTACACTGGTCTGTTGTGTTTCAGTTGCATTTTAAAAATCCCGCTTGCTGCATTTTTAGTGCATGTTCGGTCAGGTAAAAAAAAAAAAAAAAAAAAAACTTGCACGAGAATCGCACCTCTCCATTGAAATGAACAGAAAATGTGGCAAAAATGCTTTAAAAACACAACACATATATGGGAAGTCTAGAGATTTGGGGGGAGAAAACCCAACGCAACACGCATCAAAAACGCAAATCACTGAAACAAAAGCACATATGCATTTTTGATTCAGAGCAGTGTGAAAGAAGCCTTACTTTTGTCAAAGAAAACTAGCTGGCAAAAAAAAAAAATCAATAGACAAATTGGAGGAAAAGAAACCGATTATACCACACAGATTACAATCTCAAATCAGCTCTTCCTGGATTTGACCAATTTCAAGAGGCCATTTCTTAGTGGCGGCAGGCTGTTAGTCAAATCCATCCTCCGCTTAGTTGTCCATACACCGATTACTTTCTCATCCACGTCAGCACCTGTCCACGTGGCTACAAGCTGGGTGGAAAATTGGTGGATGAACAGAGGCTGCATCCAATCAAATGCAACCTCTGTTCAGGTATTATAATAGCCACAGCAGATTTTGTAACCTGCACTGTTTAGCATGGATGAAGGAATCTGATTTTTTTTATTTTGTTTAGCCCACAAACTGAACTAAATTAAAAAAGAAAGAAAGAAAAAAAACACAACTAAGTATGTATATGCAGTAAAACATTAACTTAGCGTATTTTTCGCTCCATAAGACGCACTTTTTTCCCCACAAAAAAGGGGGGAAAATGTCAGGGTGACTTATGGAGCGAATATGGAGCGACCGATCCGGTATTTCCGCAGCGTCAGAATATCGGGCCGACCGCTCAGCTCTGCAGCAGGACCTTACCTGTTCCTCTATCCAGCGGTGCACTGTCTTCCCGGCTTCTGTAGTGTGGGCGCTCGGCTTGACAGCCGGGTGCCAAGTGCGCATGCGCAAGAAGCGGTGCGCTTTGTGAATGGTAAGGCAGCACCTGGGACACATGACAGATCCCAGAAGCTGCCGGACCAATCACAAAGCGCAGCGCTTCTCGCTCATGCGCATTGGGCACCCGGCTGTCAAGCCGAGCGCCCACACTACAGAAGCCGGGAAGACAGTGCGCCGCTGGATAGAGGAACAGGTAAGGTACCGCTGCAGAGCTGACACTAACCAAAGAACAACTCCGCAGAAGTAAGAGCGGGTACCTGTCAAATTTAGGTACCCGCTCCCCAAAGGTCAGCAGTCATCCCCTGTACTGAGTCCGCAGTCTCTGCTCCCCCCCTGTACTGTGTCCGCAGTCTCTGCTCCTCCCCTGTACTGTGTCCGCAGTCTCTGCTCCCCCCCTGTACTGTGTCCGCAGTCTCTGCTCCCCCCCCTGTACTGTGTCCGCAGTCTCTGCTCCTCCCCTGTACTGTGTCCGCAGTCTCTGCTCCTCCCCTGTACTGTGTCCGCAGTCTCTGCTCCTCCCCTGTACTGTGTCCGCAGTCTCTGCTCCTCCCCTGTACTGTGTCCGCAGTCTCTGCTCCCCCCCTGTACTGTGTCCGCAGTCTCTGCTCCCCCCCTGTACTGTGTGTCCGCAGTCTCTGCTCCCCCCCTGTACTGTGTCCGCAGTCTCTGCTCCCCCCCTGTACTGTGTCCGCAGTCTCTGCTCCCCCCCTGTACTGTGTCCGCAGTCTCTGCTCCCCCCCTGTACTGTGTCCGCAGTCTCTGCTCATCCCCTGTACTGTGTCCGCAGTCTCTGCTCATCCCCTGTACTGTGTCCGCAGTCTCTGCTCATCCCCTGTACTGTGTCCGCAGTCTCTGCTCATCCCCTGTACTGTGTCCGCAGTCTCTGCTCATCCCCTGTACTGTGTCCGCAGTCTCTGCTCATCCCCTGTACTGTGTCCGCAGTCTCTGCTCATCCCCTGTACTGTGTCCGCAGTCTCTGCTCATCCCCTGTACTGTGTCCGCAGTCTCTGCTCATCCCCCCTGTACTGTGTCCGCAGTCTCTGCTCATCCCCTGTACTGTGTCCGCAGTCTCTGCTCATCCCCTGTACTGTGTCCGCAGTCTCTGCTCATCCCCTGTACTGTGTCCGCAGTCTCTGCTCATCCCCTGTACTGTGTCCGCAGTCTCTGGTCATCTCCTGTACTGTGTCCGCAGTCTCTGGTCATCTCCTGTACTGTGTCCGCAGTCTCTGCTCATCCCCCCTGTACTGTGTCCGCAGTCTCTGCTCATCCCCTGTACTGTGTCCGCAGTCTCTGCTCATCCCCTGTACTGTGTCCGCAGTCTCTGGTCATCTCCTGTACTGTGTCCGCAGTCTCTGGTCATCTCCTGTACTGTGTCCGCAGTTTCTGGTCATCTCCTGTACTATGTCTGCAGTCCATTGGTTCAGAATATTTTTTTTCCTGTTTTCTGCCTCTAAAACCTAGGTGTGTCTAATGGTCAGGTGCGTCTTATGGAGCGAAAAATACGGTAATTAAAGTGCCCAGTTGTTTCTGATTTGAAAAAATTCTGTCCCCCTTTACTCCTCAGTCGCCCCTCTTTTTTGGTGCGATGTACAAAATGTAATCCTTAAAGTGAAATTCCAGTTTACACCTAACTAGCCTTAATGGCTAAGGTCACTTAAAAAAACAAATATGAGCACTTTTTTTGCAGGTGCATAAATGTGCAATAACATTATTTTCTTCTTAGAAGCTTGTAGAGCATTGCACTTGTGATTGGCAGATCGTGTGTGCAATGCCAGGCTCCTGTAGGCACTCATACAAGCAGAGACAGTTACTGAAGTGCCAGAGTGTCAATGAACTACGAGAACGCTTAACAGCAGCTTTGAAATTCATTGAGAACTACAAGCCACCTGCCACGGTGGTAGATGGGACTTGTAGTTCATTCATCCGCAGATCTGTGTGATGCGGCTGTGTGGGCAGAGCCTCACAGAGCTGCACTGTTTTTAAATTGTAATAGCAGGTGAGAAGAAAGGATTCCCCACTTACTATCACAATGGGGGACTGTGGGGTGAGCGGGGCTGCTGCATTATTAACATATTACCTGTTACACATGATAAATACACCTGTATTTAGGGTGTAGAATGTTACTAAAAGGTTATTGTATCCTTTAACCAATTAACCACCAGAGGATTTACCCCCCTTCCCGACCAGGACATTTTTTGCGATATGGCGCTGCATTACTTTATGAATAGTAAAAACAAAAAAAAATTAAAATAAAAAAAATCGGTATACGCACAAAATTATAAAAAAAATTAAATAAAAAACACCCTAGACGCACAAAAAGTCACACTTTCTCCCCCAAAAGTCCAAATTCAAATAAACCCTCTCAGCATCTCTGAATCTTCAAATATTATTCAAAATTCATATTTCTATTTGCTGCTTAACTTTGACAATTGCGCGGTCATGCAACGCTGCACCCAAATTAAATTCACGTCCTTTTTTCCCCACAAATGGCGCTCTCTTTCGATGGTATTTGATAACCTCTGCGGTTTTTATTTTTTGTGCTATAAACAAAAAAAAAAAAACCGACAATTTGGAGGAAAAAAACAAATTTTTTACTGTTGCTATTAAACATATCCAGTAAAAATTAAAAAAGAAAAAAAAAATAATCAAATTTCGTCATAAATTTAGGCCAAAACGTATTCTGCTCCATGTCTTTGCTAAAAAAAAATATCCCAACACATGTAAATTAATTGGTTTACATGAAAGTTATATATCATCTACAAATGGCGGTATTGATACTGGATTTTTTCTTTTTATACTAGTAATGGCGGCGATCCGCAAC